GGCGCGAGGGGGGGAGGGGATTGTTGTCGGGGGGTGGGGAAGAGGGGTGCGGGGGGGGGGGGGGGGGAAGCAAATCAATCATGTTGCAGCCTCATGACACAGGGTGGAGTCACGCTGCTGATGCGCTCGTTGCGTTGCTGTGACGCTCCTGTGGAAGGGGGGGGGGGCGAGGAGAGGTCAGCTGAATTAACAGTTTCAGACAGAGTTGGGGTTTCGGCACTCTATTCCACCCACGCACTGTAAATATAGGTTAATGAAGTAGCCTGTAGGCAGACGACAGGAGAGTGTGTTACCTTTGTTTGCTGGTGACATTGCCGCATGCAGCATGAAGGGACCTCGCCAGCTCCGCAACCTTTTATTTCAGCAATTAAGGGACCAACACTGACGAGGGGGGACCTGAAATGCATGCTGAAATTTTATATGAGAGCCTCCCTCCTAACTGTATCAGCACCGAACCACATAGAAAGTCGTATGAAAATGAATAGCTGTGATCTCCAAATGAAAGGGAGATCACACTATTTGCTTAAAGGACCACATCTATGCCCGCTAATAGGTTTCATTGGCTCAATCTGTTTTTTTCCGGTGGAGTTCAGAAACAGGCCCGTGTTTAATCTGAGGCCGGAATAGATTTTTGAATGGCTTGGTTTGATTAAATCTGTAGACGTGTTAACTGCCAAAACTCAAAATGCTAAAATACTCCCAGTGATTTGCTCACCACTTTCGCATGATTTTCCTTGACATGTGGGTTTTTGATTTGATTCTGCTGCGTTTATACCTTAGCAGCCATCGAATGCCAGGCGTCTCAGACGAGCACAGGCTCTTGAATTGAACCCTGATGCAGGTAATCCACATTGGAGAGCTGCTCAGACCTGCTGAACCACCTGTCATGTCGCCTGCAGACATAATCAGAATGTTTTTTTTGTTTGTTTTTTTTCTCAAAGGAACAAGTTGTGAGCAAAACAAAAGCCAGCTACTGAATGGCAAGGACATTTATCAGTCGAATATTGAATATCTGTGAGTGAATCAATAACAAATAAACCAATTAAATAAACACGTTTTCTGAGTGATTTCATTGCACTGTGAATGATTGTTTTAATGTCTGTCAGACCACTAACATATTCTACATGATAAGTCTCAAACAAACAGTGGTTTCCAAAGTTGGAAATGTGTGTATCAGATCTAAGTAACATAGCAATGGAAGCAGCACATTTAGGCATTAAGTTATACAATAAATACAAAGCAGTACTTATGGATTGGTTAAAAAAAAACAAAACAACAACTATATCATGTAATGACAGTAATGACTTATCCTATTTAAGTGACTTTTAATGGCTGCTTACTCAACAGCCAACGTCCCCGGTCTCTTTTGTTGTTATTTTGAGGGTTGGAAGGTAAAAGGTTAGGGAACCACATGGGTTCAAACCCAGTGACGGTGCCTTCGTTTCAACCCAGTTTACTGAGATTTAAAAAAAAAACAAAACTTTTTTTTAACAGTGTATTTTTCATCCCATTTCAGGTAAAGTAATAGTATAAATACCATTAGCAATGACACGGACACAGTCTGCTTTAGTAAACTTCTATGTTTGCGTAGCTTAAAAAAATACTTATTTTCTATTCATTATATTATTTTTCACAAACCAAGAAAACTCCGGGAAACAAGATCGGTTTTCCTATGTTTTGGGGGTGGGAGGGAGCTGGAACTTCATTTCATTGTGTATTCATACTCCACACGTACAAATGCATATCTATAAAATGAGGTATTTATTCATACCAAATAATTTTTATTATTGTCATAGGTAAATTAATGTAGAACCGAGTCAGACATATAGGAAGACAAAAAATGATTTCTGATTTTAGTTTCTATTTTATTAGAGAGCACGGCAGGATATGGCTAGAATGCGGGTGTTCTCCGGTCTATATAACTCCGCCGCCATCTTACATTTCCCAGTCTCCGCTGTTCTGGCTGCGTCAGTACCTGCTGTCTGCAGCTGCCTGTGAGGGAGTGGATGAGGGCTCCCCGCTGACGCTGCTCCACACATTTTCCTCGACTTTTTCTTTTTCCTTTTCCAAGTGGTTTTTACTCTCCGGAACCCAAGTGGACGGATTTGTCGTATTGACAAGGGTAGGCTTCAACATTCAAAACTATCGGCTTTCCTCAGTTTTCCTCCTTTTCCTTACCCGGGTCCGTGTGAACGCCAGCGGGAGTGGAGTTGGTTGTTGTGTGTATGTATGTATGCATGCGTGTGTGTGTGTGTGCGGGCCAGCCGGCCGGGGATGGAGCTGCGGTAACCTGCGAGTCAGCTGCTTTCACGGCAGATTTTTGGGATGATCCAGTCACCGCCTTTTGGGGGCAAAAGCTTGTATTCGTCGACCTAATGTTTATAAAGAACATTTAGGCTGTTTTCCCTGCCAGTACTTAGACACGTTTGGATTTTATTGCCTTCTACCTAATTCGGGAGCGGAAAAAAACAGAGTTTGGATGAAACGTGGATATTTCGTCTGATATTTTTTTTAGTTGACATTAGTAAAGGTTAGCCTGTTAGCTTACAAACTGTTGGCCACATTCCTCCATTGTGACTCATGTTTGGGCTTCTTGAGTTTCGCCTGAGTTTTTTCAGCTGTTTATGCGTAACCAAAACTACTGGAGGTGGGGAGGACACAACGGGGGGTTCACGTTTAACTTCTTACTGGTTATTTCATCGATGTGAAAAACGCATAACGCGAATTTGTGAATTGTATTGAAGTCAAAGCAAAACGTTTCGTCTCGAGTTGGAAGTTTGTGAGACTCCCCAACCTGTACGGAGCGTCAATGCTGTTTTATGTGCGTATCTCAGTTGAAACAAAGTTTTTGTAGGGTTTTTTTTTTTTTTTTTTTTTTTTTTTTTTTCTCCCGGAAAGTTTGGGGACGGGGGGTGGGGGGGTTTTTTTTCCCTTTTTCCTTTTTAAA